CGTTCTGATATTGTGTCTAAAGCTGCGTCTCTACCCTGATATTTGTTTTCCTCCTCAATAGCATGCAGACAAACTTTTCTCCATTCCTCTACAGTTATGGCGTTCATTTTTTCTTCAGCTAATGACATTATAACCTTCATATTCATTGCGACATTCTTTTTTGCGACATATGTTTTCACTATCCCCCATATATTTTCTATAGGATTAAACTCCGGATGGTATGGTGGTAAACGCAGCACAGTATGACCGTGCTGTCGTAATATTTCGTCTATCTTGTACTCTACAAATCTCGCCTTGTTTTGCAGAATCAGTTCATATAATTGAGGCTTAAGCAACGTGGATGAATGCTCAATGTTTCGCAATGTCAGCCAGTCAATCATTTGCTGTTTTCTAGAATTACTATTCGGTGCAGGATTTTGTATTGAGTTATGATATGGTGCGTTGTCAACAACAACAACACTATTTGGTTGTAAGTTGGGTATTAATTGAGTTTGAATCCACCTTGAATAGTTGTCATAGTTCATATTGTCGTGGTAATCTCCACTTTTTTGGTTGGCTTTAAACATAAGCAATGCATTTGGTATAAAGCCATCCATACCACCGGCATGAACAATGATTAAGCGGTTGCCTTTCGATATATGTTGCTTCAAACCTGAAGTGCTTCCATCTGACCAAGATTTCGAGAGGGTATGTGATGTATGTATATATGTTTCGTCGGTGTAAACAATTGGTCGGCGTTGTTCACGATATTCAGCAATTTTCATCAAATAATTAATTCGCAAGTATCTAATTTCGTGTTTTTCCATAAGAAGATTCCGGTTATCTTCTGTTTGCTTCCAATTAAAACCTAATGACATGACGTGTTTTCGTAACGTGCTGACACAACCTTTATAATCGATATCTTCTTTTAATTTTGCGTGCAAAGTTTTCAAAGTGGGAATTTCTTTATTTGTGATGTGGAAGTCATGAATTGTTCTTCTGATAACTTGCTGATCAAAGTTATCGATTACTATTGTAGGTTTACGATTCGGTTTCTTTTTAGGAGATTTAAATGTTACTTCCTGATCTGAAGGTCGACATTTGCTTTCTGATACTACCTTTCTGACGGATGCTATTGAAATTCCCGTTGATTTAGCAACTAATTGAGTGGGAGTCATAATACTGCTCGGGTTGTTATTACACTCATTTTCGAAATATTTGTACAAACAGTACAAAACTTCTTTAGTTTGAGAAGTCAAAGGCTTGCCTCGACCATGTTTTAACACTGGAGCCATTTTTAATTAACAATATAAAGTTGCAACACTTACACACAAATTAAACACTTCAACAAATATTATAACAATAATAACAAACAATAACAACAATCAACAAATACAAAATTTAACAATTAACGTAATAATTATAATTTTTGAATGAAATGTGTGCTTTATGTTCTAACAGTACCAAGCGACTGACGCCGGACTGCACGTGGCACCTGCGGACAGCGTAAACTGGTTTATTCTGGTTTTGTGCGTGTTTCCACTTTCCACTATCAAGTGACGATTTTTTGCTTTAGATTGAAATATCTCGGAAACGGTGCGTCCTAGGCCAAAAATAAATTTTGACCCCCCGTAGACCCCCGGAGTTTTAAAAACCTAGATGAAAGGAAAAAAAAATATATATCGGTCTCTCCTCTTTGAAGTTTCACTTCTATCGTGTGTGAATCGCGCACACACCTTTTTTTATAAAGTCAAAACCTTTTTTTTAAATAAAAACTTGTTTTTATTGATAACAAAAATCAGAGTGTTGCTAGGGATAAGTATAATATTAAATAGTAATGTTAGGATATCGAAACATTTTTGTATAGGCCAGAACGATATAGTGGAAACGCGCTCTAAGATCTGAGTAATATACACACCACTACATATGCAAAAATTTCTCGAGACTAATTTCATTGTACTGTTAATTTACACATTTACAAGTTAACATGTTTACAGGGTTAGTAATTCAGACTTAGATGGTATGTTAGTTATTAATAATTAAATAGTAATTAATAAACAAAAGTGTTAATGTGTTATTCATCGTAACACATTAACACTTTTGGTTATTAAAACATTAATTGTGTTAGCACAAGTGTCCCCGGCCAGCGGGCTGGATGTCGCTCATAAATAACAAATATCATGAGGATATTATTATTGGAGTAGTTGTCGCCCGGGCTCGGCGGGAAACGCCAGACCTAGTTTAAACAAATTACGTTCCTGTTAGGGGAACTATGTAAAAAAAAGCGCTGTGCTTGCTAGTATTTTTTTGTTAAAAAAAAAAATTACGGATATAAAAGCGACTAAATTACATATTTGCAGTGTTGGCCTAATCATCCCTGAGGTCGTAGGTTTGATCCCCGGCTGTGCACCAATGGACTTTTCTATGTGCGCATTTAACATTCGCTCGAACGGTGAAGGAAAACATCGCGAGGAAACCGGCTTGCCTTAGACCCAAATTGTCGGCGGTGGCAAGCATTGTAGTCTGATCGCCTACTTGCCTATTCTGTAGATCTGAGGGCTAGACCTAAGAGGTGTGTCACTGTGTGCCTCTGGTGTGTCATTTGTAAAATTATACTAGCTTTTATTATATTAATTATTATAATAATATAGCCTTTATATTTCTAAACTCTGTGATCTGTGATCTTTAATATTTTTTTCACTCCAGTACACCTCTGAGTTCGTTGTGCCTCTTGGTAAAGTCCTCCTCTAACCAGTTGCTAAGCTTCTCTAGTTGTAGCCTGCTGTTCATTTGAGTTCATCCTCTCATCGGCGTTGTCGGCCTCTTCTTCGTTTTCCGTCTTAAAGTACCATTTCGTCAATATTTTGCTACTGGGCGTCGTAGCATATGACCCGTCCATCTCCATTTCACTTAGTTACTTAGATATTATTATATTATAATGAGTCAATTAAGATAGTAGGAAAAACATGCTAGAAAAACTATAATTATGAAGAATTTCCAAAAATATAATTTTATAAATACCTACGGTCATAAACGCACTATAAACCCCAATCACTTAAGCAGTGTCTTGATAGTTTTATTTATGGTACAGGTTGTGCCCTTTACACAATATTTAACAGCCACTTGACCTACGTTTAATAAGTGTAATTGGCCAAATAACTGTAATTAATTGACGAATTAATTAGCTAACAATTAGTTAAGAACCCCATAAATAAATAATAAATAAAATAAAAAGCCTTTTATTTCTTGCTTTCTATAAGTATTACAATTTCATAACAATACTTAATTTAATGTTTTTTTAGCAAGAACCCTCTCCATGAAAGGTAAAGGCCTCCTCCAGAGAAGACCAGTATTCTCTGTTCTCTGCCGCTCGTAACCAATGAGTGCCTGCCACTTTTGTGATGTCGTCTACCCAGCGTGCTTTTGGTCTTCCTCTCTTTCTTTGTCCTAGTGGGCCTGTCCATTGTGTTGTCTCTCTTGTCCATCTATTATCGCTTAGCCTCGCTACGTGACCCGCCCATCGCCATTTGAGCTTTTGTGAGTAATTGAGGGCGTCAATGGCTTGAGTTTTCTGTCTTATATGAGTGTGGCGGATCTTTTGGATTTTCCTTATTTTCAGAATGCTCCTCTCCATACTCCTTTGGCTGGATATAATTTTATTTTTTACTTTTCTAGTAAGAACCCCATAACGTACCTTAAAAACAATATTCATTTAATATTAAGTTGCCTTATATTAAGACTTACGAGGTACGAAAACTTAGTATTGAAATCGGAAATGCATGAACTTGCAGGTTTAAATTAATATATATGGTAACTACAATACCGAAGGTATACAGGTATAGGGGCATACGATACGATACAAAAGATACGGTAAATTTCTTTACGACTTGTATGTAGTACCTCATGTAATGTGAAGGAAGCTCTGGACACCTTAAAATATTAATAAATACTGATATTACATGCATGATGTAAATGATAGTCTCAGTTCCCAGTGAAATACATTAGGTTAGGTTAGGTTAAAGCCAAAAATGTGTATCCTTCCTTCATTTCACAAATCATGATGTTTTTATTAATTTCTATGGGGTTAAAGAGCATGCGCCACCACATTATGGCATGGTACACTTTTGCCGAGTGATAAAAATATGTAACAAAAAATTTGGAGCTGTTTAAAGCTGTTTTATTACAGCTTTTAACTAACATAAAATTACGGGCAATGGGATTGCGATGCTAACAAAAACTAACTTGGCTTATCTAAGGGTTGACACATCTAAATGACACTTATGTTATTGGACATTATCGGAAATGAGAATGTTAAAATACAATTCATAGTGTGGTAAAAACTAATCATATTGGCTTCAAGTGTGCGATATTGTTTTCATTTCGTTTACGCTTCTAATTATTAACTAAAATATTTATATGTTACTTAACCAATGTTGGGCTACATAACTCGTGATTCGACAAATTTATCTTAGATACATTGTGCTGTTACTTTAGTATTTTTAATAAATCGTCTCCACTGAGACATCATTGGACATTAGAATTTATCCTAATACAAAATAAAGTACCTATTCCCTTGGCGTTGCGTAGAGATGTGGGATCTCTCTGCATCTTCTACCGCATTTACCATGGAGAGTGTTCAGAGGAGTTGTTCGGACTAATGCAGCTGAGTTTCATCATCGGACGTCAAGGCAGAATACAAAATACACCCGTATCACCTTGACGTCAGTCGTTCCACAACTAAGCGATTCTGAAGGCAATTTCCGCCGCGCACCACACCTATGTGGAACCAGCTGCCCACTGAAGTATTTCCGAACCAATTCGACTTAGGGTCCTTCAAGAAAAGAGCATACCAAGTCTTAAAAGGCCGGCAGCGCGCTTGCGAGCCTTCTGGCAGTGCAAGTGTCCATGGGCGGCGGTATCACTTAACATCAGGTGAGCCTCCTGCCCGTCTGCCTCCTGTAACATAAAAAATAATAATAAAAAATGAGTAATTTAAGTTTTACAATTTTATTCTCTTTCAGTTAGCCTACCACTCATCACCCACGGGATTGAAGCAAATAACCTCACTATAACATCCCATTCGGGTCACTTCTTGTCGAGATTCAACAATGTCCCACTGAGTACCACTATGCTGATCCTCAGCGCTGGTATATCAGCGCCTCTACTTAGTTTGATTATTGACCGACTTGGACGAAAGTTTGGAGTGTATTTAATTATTATGTTACAAGGGGTGAGTGCATCCAGCTATGGAATTCCTTACCAATTGATATCAGACGAGTTCAGTCTTTAAATTTATTTAAAAATCTTCTTTTTGATCATTTTTCTTCTGCCTCGTAATTAGCTACTACCTTTATACCTATGTAACACTGAACATGTTTAGAAAATGAAAAACGGCTTAATGCAGAAAGTTGCCAATACTTTTATTATTTTTCAAAGTAATCTCCGTTCCTCTCTACACATCGTCGCATTCGATGGAACCACTGAGAAATGCAGTGAGCATTAAGAATTGCTAATCGCAGCCTATCATGGCTTTGTTGTTGCGTAAGCCTAGAACGAAAGTTTTAATAAATCATTGACCGAAAATTTTCTCTCCTTAGGGTGCGTACAGACTTTGTAACATATTATATAACTTGTGTTTTAAAACAATACTGTACACATTAGAATAACAATGCAATATAACAATGTTATATAACCATTTTAAATAACAAAAGAAAAACAAAAAACGTAGATGTTGGGTTCGTCCTAGCATACATATCAATAACATGTTTTATAACATTCAGTGTCCACATTATCTGAAACATGTTGTATAGCAATGTTGTATAACATGTTATGTTATATAGTCTGTACGCACCTTTAGGTTCATCACGTGTAACAAGAGTTTTAGATTTGTCTCCAATTCACAAAATCAAATGACAAATGAATGCAATATACTACATGAGGTTACCAAAGAGTTCTAAAATTGAAATTCAAAAATTTTTTTCATTAGCTATGTTTCTAACTGGCCAGTTCTAAAGATTTTCAGTGTTACCCACGTATATCAATTGTGTACCTACATGCTTAAGAGTATATATAGTTGTTTATTTTTTATTTTTTCTATAGATTTACTTTATTTTCGTTGTATTTGTTGTATTTTAGTTGGTAGTGTTATATGTTACTTAGAGTTTGAGTTTTTGTTAATGCACTTCTTGTACTTTACCCTCTGTAGGTGTTCCTTTTTTTATTGTTCTATATTAGGGTTGCCTGGAAGAAATCGCGTGTTAGCGATAAGGCCGCAGGTATATATAAATAAATATTTTTTGTGATGAATAAAATCTAAAACTACTGGATCAATTTAAAACATTCTTTCACCAGTATAAAGCTCTACTATCGGTGAGTCACATAGATTAAAAACATCACGCTGCAATATATTGGAGTGGAGTATCAATGAAAAACGTAGCAAAAACGGGGAAAATTATTTCAGAGATGCCCTCAGTTTAGTTACCGCGTAGAACAGCTGCTCATTTGATGAATACAAAAGGTACATAGTCCTGTGGTTACCAGAACTCAGAGATCCTGTCACGGAATCACGAAATAGTGGAAACAAAAAAGGAGCAGGGAGTCATCTTTGTTAATACTGCTTGCCCCTGGACGACGAGGGCGTTTCTTACTTTACCCCATACCCCAGTAGGGTGATACAGGACATGATACAAATATAATACCTTAAACGCTTTTCTGTCAAATTGTGTATATGCTGTGATGGGGATATAATAATGTTTAGCTAAATAAATGTAATGGAGAGTACGAGGTCACGAAGACAAGACGAAAGAAAATGTCTAAACTTAATGCATGATTTATTAAAAGTACACTAGTTTTTATTTTACTATAAGATGGCGAGAAGTTAAATGATAACATTTGGCGGACTATTTTGACTCATTAAACTTTTTTAACAAAAGTACTCTTTATGTATGTCAAATTGTTTTACGCTGAGATAGATAGATGAGTGCTCTAGGTAAAACAGTGTTGTTAGATTATTTTTAACAAAAGCTCTCCTGAATTTACAACTTCATTCTAGCAGATTCTAGAAGTAAGTACGATACTTTTGATTCAGTCGGTTAAAATAATACACGCTTAAGTGAATTGATTGACGAAACACAAACATTGACTCATCTGTTCAAACACGTTCGTTTGATGCTTTAAGCAAATTTACACCTGCTACTTTCAAATGCATGAGTTTTGCTGAGTAAAACCTTTATTGTTATATCTATAACGTCTCTTAGCCTAAGGGTGAGACTTTTTTATAAAGAACTGGACAGACCGTTGGCAACAATCCCACCTGATGTGAAGTGAAATATAGCCTATTGGAGGGCACGCCTGTCCAGGAGATTCCTCTTTAACCGTCGCTCAAATGAACCCATCAATACGCGAGACGATGAGAACTTAGAGAAACTGATCGTGATAACACAGAAGGCAAAAGATCACGTGGCCGTTCACCAACCAGATGGACCGATCAAGTGAAAGACTCATCGTCCTCAAAACTGTACACTGTCATAAGAGACGCGCTGGACCGAAACCGGTGGAAACAGATAGTCCGCTCCAGACGCTTTCTTGCTGACCCCGACGCTCAGACATTAAAAGGAGAAAATGAATTCATATTATACTGTCTAAGGAAGGCCTTCCATCTGGATCTGGATAGGCAAGGAGTTCCTTTGCTGTTCTTATAAGAAACGACGAACTAAATCAATGGAATTTTGTTTGAAAGGCGATGGTGGAATCAGATAGTGTAGTTTTATGAGCATTCTTCGGAGTGCAATCTATAGATGTCTGAAAGACAACCAACTGAACGGCGAACGAGTGAATTGTGTGTGTCTATAATTTGCTTAGCCAGCCTCTTAATAGCATCCAAGGCACCAAGATAACAATTGGCAGCACCGGCCAGAGATGACTGCAGTACGCACGAACGGACTTGAGCTTCAAAAAGAGATGAAGAGAAAGAGACTTAGCGCGAACGAAATCATCACTTATGTTCTGCACTTATATTTGTATTCAGTGACATTCGACTACTTTAGAACTTGAAATGATTTTTAAACCTTTAACTAATAAATCATCTTCTACGGTATAAGAGGAGAGTTAAGTCTCAGAGAAGTGTTGCCTACTGCGCTTGCAACTCTCATCATTAGCATTAACACTCGCTCTTGCGGAAGCATCGTGAGGAACCATGCCTTAGACCTTAAATTACGGCCTGGGTCAGCCACTGAAAACTGGTCATCTACTTGCCTATAAAGAATGATCACAACTCAGATAAAGAAATCTGACCTCAAGACCTAGGAGTTGTACTGCTTTTATTAGTGTCTTTCAGGAATTTCATTGAGTATATATTTTTCCAGATATGCTGCATACCACTCCTCCTACCACCAAACAGAATAGCATACATCATAACCCACTTCCTGGCCGGCGTATCATCAGCTGGACTCTTCACCGTCATCCCAATATACATACGGGAGATCGCACCATCGTCATCCAGAGCATCGCTTGTATCATTGATAATTATAATGACACCACTAGGATATTTGACAAGGCTGGTGATGGATGATGAGTCAATGATGTATTTAATGGCAGCGATGGTGATGCTGGAGTTTGTTACTGTGTTCTTGATGATCGAATCACCCAGTTATTTGGTGAAAGTCGGGAAATTTGGTGTAAGTTACTGTTCTAGTATTCAAGTTTATTGGTGTAGTTTTTATATTTCCTGAGGGTCATACATGGTTATGGTTTGTGGACTCAGTTTCCGCACTTAGACTCTTAATAGGTCCTTTGTGCGTACTGAGGGGCATATATATGTATTTAGTCTGTGAAGATCAACCTTATGCCAACTCAATCCAATCCCATTTGTCACTACATTCAGAAGAACGCGTTTTAGCCAAAACTCAAATTGAGCATTCTGATACACGAACTAGGTGTGGATATCTATAATTCCCACACACTTTTTAAATAGATTCGATTATCTCTTGGTGTTTGTTATGTTTGCCTATAAGTGCTTGTCATTTTAAATAATAGTATTTTATTAAATGTATCGGTGTGCGAAACGTTGGCAAGTTTTAATAAAAAACTTAAACAATTATTAATACCTAGAAAGCAGTCCACTTTACGAACACATTATTTTGACAGCGAGCGAAGACAAACATAGCGAAGCTAAAATGCCTGAAGGAAACTGACAATTATGTGATTATGGAACTCAAAAGGTTAAAAGATGAGAGTGATAGGACAAAACCATGGAAATATGTTGATTTGTGTAAGTTTTGACTCAAACAGTTTTTTTTATAACAGCATAAACCTTAGAACCAGCTGAAGACACGGTATTACATGTCCTGACTGACTATCCAATGTATGACTAAGACAGGTACGACACCGAAATAATTATGGGAATTAACGAAACAGAAACTTCAAAGTAATAATACTTAAATATTATACAAAAAGTTTTTAAAATACATAAGTTGTTAGAGCTAACAACGCTATTTACTTAAGTTATACATATACATAAGCTACTTAATGCCTCCGACGACAATATAGTCGGAGAATTAGCTAAAGAGAATATTTATATCTAATAAAAAAACGGAATAAACCATAATTATACCATAAATTTAACTACTGTATTATCTACCAAAGCTGTTCCAAAGTGCTTATAAACAAACAAAGCTTTTTATAAAATTGACGAACATTTAAATGATCCTAATCCTTGGGATTGATTTGCTCCAGATTAAACAATTTGTATGACTCAAAACTTAGCGATTAAAAAGAGTGGCGGAGAGTTTCTTGCCCGCTCTACGCCTTTGACTTGCGAACTGGTAGTAAATGTAAATTTAGAATTAATTTAACATATTTTCTGTTGACATTCATAAGTGTAATTGTTTACCTATATGAATAAAGTTATTTTGAGTTTGTATTTCCAGGTCAAACTCAAACTAGGACTATCACAGGCTAGGATTATTTCTAAACATTTAATATTAACATATTGTTCGGTTCGGTGTTCGATACGCAGAGTAGTGCCACTTTTCCAACAATATTTCTTTATAATACTTACAGGCAACAGCACGGTCTACATACCGCTGGTTAATTTCTTCCCTTACCTTACTGTTTAGAAAGAAACCAATGGCGCTACAACCTTTTTAGGTCTGGGCCTCAGATTTCTGAATCTGTTTTATGATCATTTGTGAAAAACGCCTTCGACTTTGTGGATCTATGGGAAGCTGGTTTCCTCACGATGTTTCCTTCATCGAGCGAATGTTAAATGCGCACATAGACATAAAGTCCCTTGATGCTTAGCCGGGGATCGAACCTACTACCTCACACACGAGAGTCGCACGTTGAACCCCCGATGCCAACTATTAGGCTTAATATAAGTGAACTCATTGTCATACTCGAAAATCTCCAATAATATGAAAGCGATAGACCTGTTTTATAATATTTTTTTATTAAAAAACGGTAGATTTATAGATTTTTCTAGAAGATTAAGTACATTTCAAATCGGTTATTAAAGTTATAATCTAAGGATAAAATTAAATTATTAAAGTCTCATCTAAACGGTACATGAACATATTTCCAGTCAAAGAAGAAACTGCTAATCATTCTGAATGTTGACTATAGAAATTATTTTGTTCCAGTCAAAAACAAAATCTGGCGTGATGCGTCCAAAATCGGCCTGGTACTTTTCACAATTACAATTTTGAGTGGAAGCAGTATGTTTTTGGATCAGGCAAAGGCACTTGCCCAGCTCAAAACCTCGATAGATCCGGAGCACATGCTTGTTCCCTTGGGATTGCTTGCTGGTGGTGCGTCTTCGGTAGTCTTAGTTCGATTCATCGACCGAAAAGTAAGTAAGTATTTTTTTTTTACATTTTGCATGAAGCATTTACAAAATCTTATATACTTGTCATATCATGACATGATCATGTTTTTGATATACGGGAGTCATACTTTTCACTCTGAACGCCCTAAGAGAACCACAGAGAAAGGCATAAATATTTTTATTATTTGTTTATACAGCCACAGAGAACACACAAAAACAAACATTTAAAGGACAACATTATAATTATAAAAGAGAATAGAAATAATACAAAAACAATGAAAGACAATAAATTATAATAAGAAATACAGGTATTAGTTATTTATTGATTTATTGAAAATTATTATAATTATTTCTAATATAAATTTCGCCATTAACGTTTTGAATTAACTTAATTTGATAGCGAATAGATCAGTGCTTCCCAAGGTGTTTTGTTCCATACCCCACCTTAGTCTACCTAAAATTCTGACTGAAATTATGTCCATTATATGAAACATACATAATTTATATAAAAATATTAATTGTTCACTTAAGAAATTTAAATGATAGCTTTTTGGGAAGAAATCACTAGGAAATTAACGAAACAATAAGAAATTTTCAAAATATAATGAAAAACTTAAATTCAAATTCCTATGAATTTTAATAAAGATCTTTCTATATATATTTAGTGCGATCCTTGCGCTTGATGTTTCTGCACAAAGATTTTATATTAGGTTCCAATTTGGTTAGCTTCAGTCTCAAGTCGTTGTATTACATCCTGATTTCGATTAATAAACATAGTGGGGCGTGGGCGCCACGTTAGTCAGGCCGCACACCAGGCATACATTTGTTATTTACGTCGCCACAATCGTTGCGAAGTCGTTGCCCTACAATTGTATGCGCTACAAATGTATTGAAAATGCGCACATCGGTAGCACAGTTGTAGCGTGGCACCGCTTTGAGAAGGTCGACATCATCGTCTTATGACATAGATTTCTTGATGTGGCGATTAATGAGAAAAAAAAGACGTTATTGGGTTCATCCGTTTAATCAAGATTGCACAAAGTACGGAAATTTTTCGCCAATCTTAGTCCAAATTATTTCTGTAATCCGTCTGTTACTATAATCATTGAGCGTGTGATTGTATAAAACAGGGTTTTTTTCAACCTCTGCAATAAACTCAACGTAAAATTCAATGTTGTCCTTAATTTTTGCAAACCAACGCGACACAAAAAACGAACGTGTTCGATCTTGAATTTGTGTGGCGCGGAAACTGTCTCGCTACAAAGTGCGCCCGCCACAAATGTTTCCTCGGTGTGCGTGCTCACGTACAAATGTATGGGGGCGTTAAATGTGTCGCGTTTCAAATGTGGCGCTACAATTATCGAGTTACAAATGTATGCCTGGTGTGCGGCCTGACTTATGAAACACTGGAATAGATTGTGACTTGACACAAGCGCCATCTGTTTTCAATTATTGTAAACACCCAAGATTAATCGAACAAAGTGGACAGATATCACAAGCACGACAACAGGCACTTTACAGTGATACGAACTTCAGCAATGAACACTACCACTGAGCAGAGAATCGAAGCGTGGCGATAATGAATTCTGCCAAAAGTTGATCGAGTTGGAATATCGAGAAAACTAAGCAGACAATTAAGTATCAACTGGCGTACCTTGGTCATTTGTAGTGCTATGACCGCTACCACCTCCTACAGTTAATAATGATGGATACATCCTCTTATTGTAAAAAAGCTGGCAACGCACTTGCGAGCCTGGCGATGTGAGTATCTATGGGCGGCGGTATCACTTAAAATCGGGTGAGCCTCCTGCTCGTTTGTTAGATACAAAAACCCAGGGAAAACGGTGTGTTGTTAGAAGGATCAAATTATGGTTGGGTAATGTGTAAGGGAGTGGACGGGTATGCCACTGCGGATGGAAGCATCTGGCACAGGACAACATGCTTTTTCAACTGTCGGCGAACCTCCACTAATGAAAAGGCATTAAGGTCATTTTACATCAAACGAACATTAAGTATAAAATTGAAAAAAAAAATTAAGAATAAAGGTATTATTGAGAGTTTCAGGGTATCAAAGTTTTTGAGATTAGGGCTTTATGACATTAGGTATAGTTTTTTTTTTTAATTATTGGGACACAAGTTTAGGTTAAACAAATATGAAAAAACAATGCCGTCCCTACAACATGCGGACACAACTAGCTAAAACAATTAGGTACAAAACCCAATAAAAACTACAAACTATAAAATGAATTAAACTTACTTAAAAATTACCGCAATTCTCTAAAGTATAATTGTACCGTACCCCAGAGCTGGTGCTTTCCTCGCTCAACGAATAAGTATCGCAATACAGCGAGGAAATGCTGCCAGCGTTAAAAGTACACTGCGACAGGGATCAAACTTTTTAAATTTATTTTAATTTTCTTTTTATTCGTTTTTAATTATTTTTATTATTACTAAGTAGGTTAAGAAAACTGTAAATACTGTATATTTGATTGTAATAATAAATAAACATTTCTACTGTACAATAACATTATATTTTATTGCACTAATAACCTTCAATTGAAGTACAGGAAAATTTGTTTTAAATTAATATAACAATGACTTTATATAATTTACTTCATAAATTATATATTATGTTTGTAGTCCTATATTTTTAAATTCATCTACTAAAAATCAGAACCGAATAGGTACGGTCGCAAAAATTTAACCTATTTCGGAGCGAGTGTATACCTGCCTCCTGAGATACGGGAAATAGTAGCGGTGGACCAGTTTCCAATACGCCTGCAAAGTTTGTTGTTAGATAGTTAGACTCAAATGCCCACGCTGTACGACGGTGGCGTGATATATTTATGTTTTTGATATTATTTGTTCTCATGTAAGTGTCATCTATGTTTTAATAAGAAAAAACTTTTTGAAACCTAATTCATATTACAAGCAAAGTGCTTAAGTGTTCAAAATAAAATATAGAGATGCAAACTGCACGCTTTAACAACAATTCCCATTTCAATATTGAGTTTACCACGTTATTTGCGTTACCAGTTTCGTCAGGATAATGTCATTATTATTTGACACTAAACTTTTTTAAGATTTGTAAATTGGACGTTTGTATTTTTTAATCTAGTTTTGTTTTTTACTTTTAATGTTTAAGTTATTTTCTCTTTATCATTGTAATGTTTCCCTCTAAATGTTGTGCATACTTGTTATTGATGCACATGCATATATCTTGTTTTCTATGTCATGTGTTCTCTGTAAGTGTTTGTATGTTTCGTTAGTGTGCCTTTTAAAAAAAACCTAATTACAGGTAATTGAGTCAATGTTTGAAAATTTTACATCAAACAAATAAAATACTTTATTTCTTTCAGTATCTCCTTACACTGTCGTACTCCGTGATAGCATTGTCTATGGGAGTGTTGGCTGTGGACACGCTACCTGATTTAACAGTGAAGACACTAAGATGGCTGCCGGTGGTGTCATTGAGTGTAGTGGTATTCGCATATGGCATGGCGTGGGGATTGCCAACTGTAATTATGGTGGAGATTTTGAATTTAGAGGTACTTTTTTAACATAATTCCTGTAAAATAATTTCTAGTTCAATGAAACGTTTGCAGAAGTGTTTTTCTTGCTGACTTAACCCAAATATAATTATCATTCACGCTATCAAACTCTTTAGCATAATCAACTATAAAGGGGAATAGCTGTTAAAAAGTTCTGAATCGTCTGTTTCGTTTAAAGTTTTTGATATTCGATCAAGATTTAATTTGACAAAGTTATTTGTTACACTTTTGCTTAATTTGTCAGACACTGTGAATGTGTTTAATTCTTTGTTTAAAGTTTTCGATACATTTTGACCACAGTTATTACTAACTAAAAATATATACATCAAAAAAATATATTCTAAAGATATAACCAAGTGTATGTAATACATAATATTATATACAAAGTGTTTCAAAAATTTACGAAACTTAGACAGGGAAAATACTAAAAAAAAACTCAAATTCTTAACTAAGTAATACCTAATCCGGCTGCGTTGATGGTGTGAGAGTGAAGTCCTTTTAAGCATATTCCGTGATAGCATAAACAAGTCAAGTGAAAAAAAAAAATTGAATAGTTTTTGTGAGGAATGTGAAACAAGACACGATTACGAATCTGGTAGGCAGGAACAAAAAGTGCAATTTATCTTGGATCGTTTGTTCTCAGGGTTCTGTGTGTGACACACGCTATTAACTTTTGTCTCTTACACCAGTTTTCTCATGGGATTCACCTTCACCGTATAGGCACGTGTTAATTCCCCACATAGATACAAAAGTATATTTGTACACGGAACTGACTCCCACCCCAGTCATTCTTCTCAAAAATATAGCAGTATATTTACCTATATACAAATAAAATAGATTTAATTGCATTTGTACTAAACTTGAACAGTTGCTCCAGTAAATTCAATGTGGTAACATTGCGGTCCGACACATTATCTGAGCAGACGATACAATTCGGCTAGAAATAACATTTGGTTATTCTAAATTAAATATTGTATGCAATAAACATAAAAATAAATTTATGGCTAGTCTAATTTACTTTAATTCTTTAATTTAACTTGACAATTCATAAGTGTACTTGTTTACCTACATGAATAAAGATATTTTGAGTTTGAGTTTTATTATTGACACAACTCCGCACTTCAATGGCTTCCGACGTTTGTTATATTTGTGAAGCTTCGTATTACACTTTTTTTTATGTATTAGGAGGCAAACGAGCTGGAGGCTCACCTGATGTTAAGTGATACCATGGACACTCTTATTTTCTGAAGTCTCGCAAGAGCGTTGCCGGTACACTCTTTTTTTGAAGGACCCTTAGTTGAATCCGAAGAATAGAACGCTCCATAGCCCTTTGGCATACTCCAATCTTTTTAATAAGAAGCCTTATTAAAAGTCCACGCTTGGCATCCATATGTCCACGGAAGTGTGTGTCTATGACTGTTCCTTTTATACTCAAGCTAAGGTCGGGTTTCAGCACTTCTCTTAGTGCCCAAAATATTGATAATGAAACTATTACTATTAAAACATGCAAAAACAAAATTTCTTACACACAAAAACTACAAAATAAATTAATAAAACCACTATTTAGATATAATTTTTTACCACAGACTAATAAAATCTATCAAGAAACCAAAATTATGACGATTATACAACTATATGTTTATAGCACCTGTATCTTAGTTTTAAAAAATTTAAATAACTCTTTCCATAGTAGCTTATCATTTAAAATATCAAACACACCACAACACGCAATACTCGTCGAGCGAGTTTGCTTATCTTGCTGAAGCCGCGTACAAATTATTTGAAAAAGTCTATTAAGTATGAGGTTGTGCAATTATTTAATCAGTTACCGACTAAAATTCGTAATTATTGACGCGTTTAACCAATTCAAAAGGGCATTAAATATACATATTATCAGAATGAGAGTAGACTAAAATTGGCACAGCTGATGGCGACGTGTATCTCGTTCGTATATATATATTAAGTTTCTCATGTAAATGAAATACATTTTTTTTGTAATGAGAAATAAAGTTCTTTAAACATTATTACTATAGCTGAATTTCATGAAAAAAAAAGACTTTTAATAATAATAGAGATTTATATGATTTGCGTATTTTACTGCTTCGGATGTTTTTTTAATTTGAGCTTTTTTTTCAGATAAGATCAGCTGTACTTGCCTTAGTGTACGCATATTCGCAAATAATTAGAATGGCGCACGTTCACACGCTAAAATACTTTGAAGATCTGATGGGAATACACACGTTATTTTATGTGTTTGCCGGTGTTAATTTAGTAGGAGCGGTGTACAGCATCATGGCGCTACCACAGATTAAAGATAAAAGTGTCAAACAAATTGAAAAACAATTAAAACGAGTTCCTGTAATAGATAGAATTTGAAATTGGTATGAGGTTTTATTTTCACTCCTATTTATTATTATTACGATAATATAGTATATATGTGTTATATTTACAGTATTTACAACATTCTTGACCTACATAGTAATAATAATAATTAAAGCAGCAAATCATCAAACAATACTTATTTTGATTTGCTATTTTAAAAGAGTACCGAGAGTTTTTTACGCCGGCTTTTTCTCTCGGCCTACACCCTCTGTCTTCTTTGCCGATGAGTAGGGATGCCTACAGATCCAAATTTAATGACGTTGAATAAGTGATACCTGTATCTTATATTCCATACTAAACATATTTTTTTTATTTTAAAAATTGATAAAAATAAAATTAGATAATAAATAAGATAATATTTGAATTTCGAATATCATATCCACGAAGCGGTTATTGCTTTAACAGCGTGATATATTTTTGTCAGTATAATCAAATAGTGATTAAGAATAAGACGGGTATTCTTTCTTAGCCACATTCTCTGCAACTGTGGAGCCATTACCCAAAAACGCACCCTGGCTGGTAAGGATAACGTATGTCTTGTGTCTATGGAAAGACAGAAGAAGAACCATCAGTTATAAACGGAACACATTTTCTATTCGTCTTACATAAGTACCCTTTGTTAGTTTTCGTCTTTATGACCACAATGGCAATATTAGATAATTCGGGTCTACCAAAATATTATTTAGCAATATTTTTCGTCGGCTACGAAGTGTTCTAATTTTAAATATACTAAAAAGATCAATTTTCTTTTATTTGGCGAAGTGTTTTGTTGTTTTAATTTTAAATAATGTATTCATTATCACCATCGTTTAATAGTCCATTTGTATAAATTATTTTTTCACTTATTTATTACTGACTCTTTTCCCCGTAACAACGTTTCCAATTAACGAAATTTAAAAAAATCATCAGAAAGAGATCCTCTACAAAATTGTTCTGACATATTTTTTTCATAAAATCAAAAGGAAAAAAGTTGTTAAGAAATTTTTTTTTTCACTTTTTTACATATAACTTTTCAATTTTGGCTTTATGATAAAAAGTCACATAGTCATAATTGTAAGCAAAGCGATTAGCTACAAAATATGCCTTTACCAATTTTTTTTACGATTGATATTTTAGGAGATATAGCGAAAAACGTGTTTTCACCCCTTTTTCCAAGATGGCGGCCGGAGAACAAGGGCGCCAACCCCACAAACTTGGGTTTAAGCTTATAAAATAAATAAAATGGCGTCCTCTATCAAATGATCAGTTTGGCCCTCAAATTGTAACATTTCAATGGACTATAATTGTATTTTGTATAATTGAAATAGATTTGTCACTTGCCCAAGTAGTTCTGCCGACATTTAAATACTTGCAAACCATTTCTACAACCGTTGATCTACGTTTATAAGGCATATAGGGGTATGTAATTCTCAAGAGAATACCTCTGAAATAGTTAAAACACAATTAGTTGGGGTATACGCATAACGTAAGCAAATGGTTGACGCTCTTAGCGATATGAGGGGAAATTTATAGTGATGTGATATTGTTTTACTAGCTTATACTACTAAAAGTTTTACGGTTATTGTCCCACAAATATTAGGACCTAAAAATACATAGACAAAAATAGATCATCACATAAAGATAAATTTGAAAACAAAGAGAAGTTTTTTTTAGCAAGAATCAGCGTGTTCTGCCAAAATAATTATTAATTCGCCTGAAATCTATATTTGATATGCACGTACGTACGTACGTAAACAATTATATATTAACTTTAATACATTCTTAACATTTAATAACTGGTCCCTATGGCAGTATACTTTTAATTCTGGCAGCATTTATTTGTTAAGCGAGAAGAACACCTGCTATGGGGTCACCATTGGCGCCTGGTAGATCCACCAGGTGCCAACTTAAATCTTTAATTAGCGCCTGTGCACTTAAACCCCGCAGCCATAGAGTAGAAATATTCTTATATTCCAGCCGTTTATTATTAATTTTCCGCCTGCGGCCGTGCCAGTTTTTTTGCTTGTCAGAGGGATTTAAGGTAAACGTGTTCACGTTAAGTATAATAGTAAAAAATTTGGAAACAAATAAATAGTATATTAATACTAGGCAGATACTATAGGTATACCAGGAAAAGTTTGAAACTAGGCAGAATATTTTTATGTACCGTGCATCACTACCGTCTCTTCACTAATATAATATGTGATGGATCCCAAGATGTATGATAAATTAATTAAAACGAAGAGCCCTGCTGATGAGATTTAGACAAATTGAATCTTTTGATTGGCCTCGCTGGTTTCTGATATTAATTACGTTACTAATGGCTTGACAGTTTTAGGGTTTTGTATTTCCCTAATATTGTTATATCATTGTAACCTAAATATATAACTTCAAATTTATAAAATCTTTGACATTTGGAAGAGAAATAAAGAATAGAAAGAAAAAACTTTAATATTCACATGTGTGCGGATCGTGAATTTGTGGGGATAGCCCAGCTATTACGGGAAAGACCCCGTGATAAACGCACACGCGACAAATACACCGACTGAAAACAAGCGCACATGGGTTGGTTGCTCAGGGATTCCAACCTTATTTCTGATTGAATTTTTTAAAATTTCAAATATTATGTTTAATTTGAAATGTCGCCTATTGTTGTCAGTGGAGACTGGGGGCCCTTTGTTTCCACAGGGCCCTGGGCTGCAGCCCAAAAAGCTTTTAAGGAATATGGCGCAGATAATGACACGGCACAGCATACGTTGGAGCATCCTCAGGGGTCTCAGCTACGTAATAATCTTTGTTCTGTGATAGGTTGCTCTGCCTTGTATAGTCCAAAACATTGTCGACAGAGACGAGGTATGGAAAGCAGTGGTATCCTTCTGTGAGCAAGTAATGCTACAGAAGAAGACTGCAGAACAAGAGAGGGAGCACTTTAGGACGAATCCTAGGGTTAGGTTAGTCCATACCTCCAATGAAGTGTGTACTGCATCGGAGGTTATTAAGCGTAACAAGCCGTTGAGGTCCCGGTAGAATGCGAGAGCGGCTTTTAGGAACTACTTGAGGCGGTTTTAGTGGGTATTGCTCACCCAGCCTCTGAAAAGCAGAGATTCTGGTATAGGTCGAGTCCCACATAACCCTGCAACTTTTGGGGGCAGATGTGTTTTTCCACCTCGAATATAAAAGATGGATTCCCTGTGTTCTGGGCAGATAGTCTCTTCCTTTTCACGTGTTAACGGTACTTGACAATATTTTCTGCATTTTATTCTTCTTGTAGTGCCACTCCACTACTGGAGATTGGCACTGGTTGGTTGTTATTTTCTGCATAACATATTTTAATAGTAAACTATTGCACAGTAAGATTACTTTCCGTTTCAGCATAGAACAGGTTCAGAAGATGTTACTTATGATTGTTAGTGAATGTATAAAGTTTTAAATCGTTAGTGATTTTTTTATAAATAAGTGGTTATTGAAAGTTCTTCTGAAGGACTAAAAACGTAGGGCGAAGAAAGAACGTTTTGGGTAGCTTTCGTATATATGTAGGTTTGCGTTGTGTGTGATGTGGTCTGGTCGGTGTTTGTTTCTGTCTGTCTGCATATTGCTATTGTATAGTTGTCTAATCGTTAAAAGTTTTTATGACTGGGAACTAAACCGACATGCCTTCGGCCTGGGTCAGGTACTGAAGGCTGACCATTAAGAAGAGGAAATGGTCACGACATAGATACAGAGATCTGTTTTTCGGGTTCGCTACGGGTTCTACCACAAAAATAATCTTTTATATGCCTAGTACAAGTAAACTGACTTGGAAACAATAAATAATTAATATGCTTTTTCGTTTAAAGTTTTCATTATTTCAAACCACGATCGGAAATAAAATGCATGCATGTCAATATACCTCTGAGGTGAAATAAAATAGATATTTCATTCACAGGCCGATCGTAAAACGACGATAAAAAGAAATTGAAATCTATTCTCTAGATTCTAGTTTGATTTAGAATGTAGCTATGTTTTTATGGCAGTATTAAAGTGAAAAAAAAGCAATTGAAAGTAGCTTAAAGAGCACCAGGATTGATTGCTTAACTATTTAGCTTACAAAATGACCTCAAAATATATATCTTACGGATAAATTAAATCTTTAAGTAGCGCCTGTGTACTTGAACCCCACGGCCATTACTTGTTGTGTACTGTTTTCTTAATTATAATTTTATTTTTGGTCATTTAGTTGTGCACTTTTTGCACTTTACCCTTTTTTTTTTTTTTTTTAACCTCAGGAAATGCTTTTACGCATATCCCTGCTGAATTTTACTCCAGCAGGGATTATGTGGGACTCAGACATAATAACTTCACACCTACCCACTAAAACCTGACGGATGCCTTCGGCTCGCCAAAGGGCGAAGGCAGGTAACAGCTGAGCCCTATCCTTACCCCCGCCAAACGCGAATGCCACAATATCAACTTGACTCCTCCCACGAACAAATCATCAGCATCTTAACTTAGGGCAGACGTGCGAAAGCACGGCGTCGCTGCCCCGGTCGTCGTTTTCTTACCGGCGGAGCATCAGAATTATTTTCACGCTGACGCTCCGCATTCTCTTTCTCAGTCATGACGGCCTCACAAAAAGCCTTGAAGGCATTCCAAGGGCCGTCATTGTCAGCTTCCACCATTCTTTGGATAATTAGTGGAAGCGACAGATTGCCAACAATGCTATCAGCAAGGACCGAGCGAAAGCCGTCCCAAGCCGGACACTCCTCAACAGTGTGCCTCACCGTATCCTCTCTACAGTCACAATGATGACAAGCAGGTGTCGCCTCTCTTCCAACGATTCGATGCAGGTAACTCCCAAAGCATCCATGCCCAGAGAGAACCTGAACGAGCCGATAGGAAAGCGATCCCCACCGTCGGTCCACCCAGTGTTTCACCAAGTTAAGTTCGGTAGCAACACTTTGTTTGAAGCTAAATGCCAACTGTCTTTAATATAAATAATAACTTACTTAACATTAGGGGTTCGACGCTGGAGTAAC